GCAAGTGCAGATCCCAAGGCTCGATCCCTAGACCTATCCCATACCCTTGTACAGTTACCCCACGCCCTGTGTGCCTTGAACCCGCGACCTGTCTGTTAAAATGTATGTTTGTGTGTTGTGTACGTAGTTAGGGTTGTGTAGACTTGAACCGTAGACCATAGGATTGGTAGTCCTAAGGGTCGGTCCAGCCCTTAGCCCAGGATCTTCTAGAAGTCAGTAGGTTAGCTGAGTCAGCGAGGGGGAGGTTAGCCCTAAGTATAGCGAAGGGCCAGTCAGTCGTAGCCTAGGAGGTTCTAGAATTGTCAACTTGACCTTTCGAGGCTGTAGAAGTCAGTCGTCCGTAGGTGAGTCAGCAAAGTACAGTCAGCAAAGTACAGTCCAGCCCCAGTCGCAGTCCCAGTCGACCTTGTCTAGTCAGCAGGTACCAGATGGGGCTGCACAGTCCTTGGGCCCGGGACAGAAAGCAGGCCAGACCACGACGAAACGGTATAAATAAAGAGGCAGCGCCCAGCTATTCATTCATTTGCCTGTGAGCCATGTGGAAGTGCTGCTAGTGCAACTTGTGCGTTGGGGGTCTGCAGGTGCCCGAGGAAGAAGAGGGCAGCGGCCATAGCCGCTAGTAGAGGAGGAAGACGACGGCGGCCATAGCCACCAGGTTGCTGACGTCAACAGATAGGACGTAGTGTGTGTGTATGTGTGTGCGTGGACATTCAGGGTAGATCCTAGTGTGTGTGTATTTGTGAGTGAGTCTGATGGTGGACACAGTGTACGGGTGGGAATAAAGACTGCCGTTCGGACGCCATAGCCACAAGGTGTGACAAGTTGACTTGTACCGAGTTTCTGGCCAAGGGCCATATATCTGAGTTTTCTGTGTAGGCGGCGTGCTCCACCTCACGCTTGTTGCTGATTCTGCCTTGTGAGAGTTCGTCATGGTTGCCCTGGAACCGGACAACCTGACACGGACACCGGACCCGTGTCTGGATTAAACCAGACATCCGGTTAACCGGACATCAAACCGGACATCCAGACATCGGGGCCTGGACAGTCCGGTTTGCTGTGTCGGTGTCCGGTTGTCTGGAAACACACACACACACACACACACACACACACACACATACACACACACACACACACACACACACACACGCACGCACGCACGCATGCATGCACACACACACACAC